TTCCCAACACCAAACCATTATTTCAATACCATGACACGTGTTTCGATCACCAAGTGATCATTTTCAAGAGAAAGATTAAACTTACTCTTGAAAATGATCACTTGGTGATCAAAACACGTGTCGAGGTGATAAAATAAAGGTTTGGTGTTGGGAAAAACTACCAGTAATATTCATTACTACACCAAAGGTTCCAAAATGTGTATCACAAGTATCGCATAGTATGAAACCAGAGTAGAAGATCAGCCGGTTTTTTTTTTCAATATGGATGACCTTAAACTTTATGCCTATGAAAAAAGGATCTCCATCAGTCCTTGAGAGTGGTGGAAGAGTACACACATGGTATCGGTATGGAATTCGATGGCAACAGTCCATCTCAAAAGAGGACGGTGCGGAGATTAACAGAGAAGACAAGTATTTCGTAGATGGAATTATCTACCACAATCTGGAAGCCAGAGAGACGTAACCGACTCGAGATAGAACAAAATCACTCTCAGTGAAGAACTCTCACCATAACAGTATCAGTACAGTACAAATTCCGACAGATCTGGTGATCCAACAGATCTGCTACAAATATGTCTGCCGTTCTGATGTTATTCTACTTCTTTAGAGAAGTGAAATGGTCTGGATAAGATGTGTATCAACCCGACTCCATAGTAGTTTGCATCACAAATCGTTCCTTTTACTTCCCCCGACAACCAGGAGGCCGCGAACCTTTAAGTTTGGAATTAGTGTCTTGGTTTTGGATGAGGTCATCAAAAATTCGGATCGTTTTCTCTACATGACCAGTGAACCTATCAGAGTAGGAATTGCATCATTCCTCTTTAATCATCTCAGAAAACACTGCTGAAACGTCCACAACTAAGTATGGTGAACACTACAAAAGTTGCCCTTGGTTAAATGCCAACACCAAATATGGCACTGATGCATGTGAATGCATATTGATATATATATTGAAAGCTGATCAGTCCTAATAAACATCATTATTATTATGAATATTATGAAAAAATGTATGACTTGTATTTTTCAATGAAACTATTTCATCGAAACACATTGTGTATACATTTCTTTCACTGTCAATATATTTCACACTAATTTCCCTTTAATTTGATGTACTGCACGCCACGAGACCATTATTAACGGAAAGATGAGAGCTTAATGTCTCTCCGACATTTTTGTGCGCGCTATCTGTGTTTTTCCCTTCGTCAGCTCCTCATGATGCCAACTTGGCTATCGAAACACCATAAATGATAAAGGATATCACGCTTCAAAGAAGCCACACTGTAAATATTCCTCATTAAAGAAAATAATCGCACGTTGAAACGCTAGATCCTCGTTACCGCTTCTTTTCAAACGACACCCAATATTAATTTTTTTCATATGTTTATCCATATCTGGTGTTTTTGACCATCTTTTCCTGATGATGCTAACTCGGTTAACGAAGATACAGTTTAGTGACCGTCAGGCATGTTGCATTGTACGTTAGGCCCTCCTAGTCATCGTCGACGCTGTCGTCTCATCACTATACAAGTTTTTGTCGTGTCGTATTCCTAACCCTTCATGCCTTATTTTGAAACCGACAATGATTCATACCCATCGCCCCATGAGCAACGATTTATTTTATAACCGATACAACCGATAACACCGCGGTAATACGCACACCGTCCGTTATCTCTACAACGGATCACCTCGATACGATCTCCATATCTCTCACAGTCATACTTCAGACTGTCCTCTCACTCTTACACACCTCTTATGGAACATCAAGTCTTCTCCAGATCTACGTATATTTCCCTCTCTTCTACATGAGAAGGATATCACAATTTCCCCAGAATTATACGGAAATCAAGAAGGTTAGGTACACAAAATGAGCCAACTCTGGCTTAGTATTACTACTCTCGCTGGCGTGTTGGATATCCTTGTTCATCTTCCACTGCTTGAATCACTATGCACGCTGTTTTTGGCGAGTGCACCGACTTGGGTTGTTGGGGTTGAGCAAACCGGCCATCGCCATAGGATGCCTGCTTCCACGTAACCCCGCTGGATATGGAAATGACAGAATCACTTGTGGTTCTGTTATTCCCTAACTGAATGGCATCGAAACGATGGCTTAATCCTAAGGTGTGTGTCTCTACGGAACCTTCGAGATACCGGGCGCCCTCTCGTCGTAGCATCGCCTTGTCACGGTAATGCGGGGCTCTGTCGTGATTGACCTTCTTTCCCCAGCTACCCGTGGGACTTTTATGGACAGAGTAAACTTAAAAATTCTTTTTGACGCTGAGTCTACAGAGAAGATGGAGCTTACGACTCCAACTGACCTCCCTGTAAATTTAGATCAGGAGCGAGTCTACAGAGGAGATGGATGTTGATCTTACGACTCCAACTGACCTCCTTGTAAATTCAGATCGGGAGCGAGAGCTTCTCAACTCTCCAATTCCTGATCCAATAACTGAACCTGAAAAAATGGTTTGGTGGTACAGCCAGAAAACGACTGAGTCGTCTAAAGAGCGGCGTACCTTATGAAACCGCCTTGAACCAAATTCTTGAGCGGCGTACTCATAATCTGTCTCAGCTGGAGGAACAATCCCCCATGGGCAGGTTACCAAACGTTTGCGCTCAAGTGATGATTCACCAAAACCAGAGGCGAAAAGCCCTGTACGGTTGAATCTAAGGCATCGTCAGGTGTAGCTGACGTGCAAAAACCTTTATATAGGAAGGTTGTCGCGGGTATCAAGGTGAGAATCTTGCACCTTGACTATCCGGATACCTCATTAATGATGAAACAACAGAGTATTTACTTTGTGCCTGTCCCGCTGGGGGCCGAATCAGGCTTTTAGAGTTCTGCAGAGCTGTACTCTTACCATCTGACCTGAAAGACCACTCACCATACAAACTAATCGGCTTCGTTAAGAAGGTGGAGGGTCGAATAGACCCACTCACATTAGATCTAACCTAACCTAACTACTCTCGCTAAATTGAAAAAAGAAACGCCAGACTAATGAATATTTAGAGCTGACTTGGTCGCGTAGGAGATCGATTTCAATCCCCACTATTGACGCAAATTTATACGTCTACTTTCCTGCAGGCAGCTGCCCAAGCGGCTAATAAAGTTGGGTTCAGTTTTCGACATTGATCACAACTCTATCACCGAGTTGGAATCCGTCCAGCGAAAGACCCACATGAAAGCAGCAGAGATTACTTCCCTCTGCAGAATACAAAGATAAGCCGATGCATAGAAGGTTCTTCTACAACATTGAAGGGTTGGAACATCCATTTTGAAGTTTCACTTCAACTTTTCGAAGATTCTATAGCTTTCTACTGTGCCGCAGTTTTCTTGCACCCCCTCAAGACTCTTGAGAAATGACCCCCCATAGCCCCCTAATGACCCTGAGAGATGTATTTTGATCTGGTAGATCAGAGCATCCAGAGGGACACAAGGTAATATGTCCAGTGGGGTCCAATGACTACTGACCTCAGGAAAACTGCGGCACAGTAGAAAAATTGAAGGCTAATCAAAGCAGGTGGCCTTTGCTTCCCTCAGGTCGAGTAGGCTGAAGTCGGTAACTGAGGAGTTCATCATGGCCTGCCAGGATGGATTAAAAAAGGTTATTATCCATTCAATACTCTATAAAGAGCTTCGAAACACTCTTTTCGATTTCACAATAACTTCCATTTCATATTTTTATACCCTCTGAAAATTGTAGTTCCTCATTATCTGTTGAAAAATCATTTTCTATCAATGCTTCAATCTGAAAATGTACATACCCATTATTTTATATGGAAATTAAGAATTACATCAAGTTGCTGAACAGTTGGTGAGGATTTTTAAACATTTTGAGAATGATTCAACAATTCAAAAGCATTTTTGTAGAACTTTCTACGACCTGATGACGTTGAAATCAACAAATTGATTTAATTATGGATCATTAAAGATCGACTGTGCATCAACCACGCATTGTAAGTACAAACAAAAAGTTTGAATGAAATGCCATTAGTTTTGACTGAAAAAACAATCCATAGATTACTTCTTCAAGTTATGATCTATTAAAATTCTGAATTATCATAATTTTTTGAAGATGAGTCATTCCCTGAATTTTCCATGAAATATTGGCACCACCGAAATGTTTTCTCAGAATGGCTTCGATAGATACCAAATAAATAAATGAAAGTGCACTCCAAATTGTTGATTTATTCGTGTAATATTTGGCGTGGCTTCGGTCTCTTTTGAATACAAACAAAATAGATGGTTCATTATTCTGAAAATATAAGTATTCGTCATTTCTAGTGAGAATCACAAAAATACTGCAGGTGGGAGGTTGTGGAAGAATGGTTCAAATTGAAAACATGTGTTACTGAAAAGCGACATTTACTAATAGAAAATTCGAAAACTGCTAGTATTTTGTCATTTCATTTTTGAAAACATTCGATTAGCGATTTTTTTATTTTCAACTGATACGTCAGCAACTGCAAGTGACTGCCGCAGTTGCAGTTAAAACGTTTGGACATTGTAAACAAAAATGAGACCACGGAAAAACTCGGAAACCAACTGAAACAAAACGTTCGTATTGTGAAAATTTGCATCACAAGCACCTGCTCACTTTGTCTAATCAACAAGTTCAAAAACATGAAAAATAGATATAAAGGTCCTAAAAATATAAGCGATAGCTCATTCGATTCGGAATCACCTCTAGAAGAATGTTTTTGAAGGATTTTGGTGCAGGTANAAAACCTGAAATGAAATAATAGTGAGATAAAATACAAGTAAAATAGAACAATTGAACAAAAATAAATAAAAATAAAGAAATGAAAAATAAAAATTGAATTATTATTTTATAGTATATTTCACGAGATGATCTTTACGAATATTTACCGACCTAGAAGCTTTCTCAAGATGAATATCCATTTTTTCAACCTCAAAATTTGCTTTTTTTGAGCAATACCAATCAGACAACCAGCAACAGATAAAACCGCTAGTCTCAAGACAATTGGATAAATCGTCATATCTATTTACCTGCAAGATCCAAATAATACTGTTCGCCCCTTTTCAATGGTTCATGCGGGAGGGAATCCAGTCGCGGGGAAGGGAAATTTTTAGGATCTGGAAAGTAATGGCAACCATATGGAGACCATGGTTTGGACTCTTCTGGAATATCTGCAACATCTGAAATAAATAAAATAATGTAATATTGGGTAAAGGCAATTTGAGAAGTTAGACAAAGCTTTTAGGTTATAATTTGTATTCCTAATAATAATAATAATAATAATCTTTATTTCAAAGAGTGTTTTACACTATCCGACATGTAGAAAACAATTCGTCTCCTATAACGGTTATAAATCTAGAACATATATAGCTTCTTCTGGTGTGCCCCAGGGCTCCAACCTAGGTCCTCTTTTGTTTTTATTGTTTATTAATGACTTATGTGAAAGTTTAGCNTAGGTATGGTATAATACAATGTTGATTGTCAATTCATTTAATATGTCCAATAGGGACAGGTCTTTTACTTTCACACATCGTTCCATTTTCCTGCAATCTGTTATTTTGGATACCTTTAACTTTCGGTGGTCATTATTGATAGTTGTTTCGATAACAGAAACCTGAAAGAATACTTGAAAACTTTCTGGGAAACCAAAAAAAGAAATGATACAAAATATCATTCAATACGACGTGGTAAATAGCCCCTAGGATATCTAATTAAAGACAAAACCCAACATGAATAGGTGTGAGCCACAATAAACCCTTGCGGGTAATCCCTGAAGAGTTAGGATGAAATCAAAGGATGCAATCTTGCCAAGATCACCTTGGGCGACCCTGGCAAGCTGGCGCCGAAGAAATATCTCGCGATGACCAGGAAAAATCTGCGCTTTACAGTAGAATTTCTGACTGACCACCGTCAACTAAGGAAGCACCTCCATAATATGGGGCTAGTGGACACACTTCTATGCAGGATGTGTGAACAGGAAGATGAGACTGTCAGGCATGTCCTATGCGAGTGTCCGGAGTTATCGTCAATAAGAAAGTGTGTGTCCAGCTTCCTGGAAAGAACAGGACGGACGATGACCTTGGAGGACAACTCCTTGGAAGGATGTACAATGAGTCACATGTGGCCTACGTGCTGTGGGCTTACACTCACCCTCCCTACTCTACAGTTACAGATACAGAAAACCTTGCGGGTTGAGGTGGAGCATTGAATTGACTTTTGACCTAACCTGACCTATCAAATGAAAATTCCGATATCTTCTGGATGAGTCATTATTAAAACAATACAGTTTTCTCTTTCACCCCCCCTCCCTGGCAGGTGACATCACTGTTGTGATTATATCGTCGATGTTGCGATGTGATTAGATTCAATAAATGTCACACTTGCACAGAGTCTGCATGCAGTCCCAGTATGGTGTAAAAAACTGGAAATATAAAAATTGTGAAGTTAACTACAAAACAAACTAGCACAAATGTATACAGTTCCTAAAAAACTACTAATGCAACATCATCAATGGCTGAAGCACCTCAGCTACATCGGTAGTGAAATATCCAGGGTTTATCCTCGATAAAAACTTGAAGGATCTGTGGAAAATCTTGGAACAAATCCATTGGTTATAACATATGATGATTGTCAGGCTACTGATCAAGTATGTAGCAATTGCTTGATTGTAACCGGCTCAGACAAAGATTACTAGTGTACAGAAATGGGCTTGCTTGACACCACAATGTCTCTTACCACGGGTATCAGTCTAGACCTGCCTCCTCCTCATGTCTTTCTGGAGAAAGAGAGATGGAGCAAACATAGTTAAGCATATTGCCAACTACTGGTAGAAACCGGTACTCACAGCTTTCTGCTCCAATTAAATTGCTCCAAAGACCAACTACTACCTGCTACAGTTCTAATCCGGAGTAGAGAGGACTGGATTCTCCGGTAGGAGGAAATACTGAGAGCAGGTAGCTATTAGTTCACTGATGGAATAAATACACCATCAGGTTATGATGCAGATGCCCGTCTAGGAACCTGTACGATTTCATTTTAGACGTCACTGATTTATCTGTGGAGAGATTGATAGAAACTAACCTAAAACATCAATCTATGAAAATATTGACTTCGTAGAGAAAGGCTTAACGAATTGGCTCTGGTTTGGACTTTTGGCCTAAAAAGTTATGACTATGAAGCCTAGCTCCCTTGCAAGAAAGGTCGCTGCAAGTGGTTTCATTGGACCAGAACCTATCAAGGCATTACTTCAAGTTTTGCCAAACAAACAACTGGACAAATAGCTGGACTACGGAACAGTTTCAGACTTCTGTCAAAATCTACCAGGATCCTCCCATTCATCTTTTGTTACTCAGGCTCGTTCTTTAATGTATTTGTGATTAAGCGTGATACCATTGATGAAACATATGGCTAATCGTGAGGAGTGAAACGTTTCTATTTGAGAATAGTTTTTCATCTAATCAACATATCTGTCGTGAATTCTTGGCTATTATATAGAAGAGACTGCATGTTGAGAGGAGATACAAAATAGATACAAGAAACTCGTTACTTTGCTTCAAAAAGATTTCAAGAAAAACAGGTCGGCCAAATAATGAAAACTTTCCTTCTCCAGTACCACCACCAGATCAGTTAACTTTTGTTTGAAATAAATGAAGCACATTAAATTACTTCATTTTGAAAATGTTGTTGGATTTTACTACCCTAAATCTAATTGACGCCATATATGGCGTCATCCCAAAAATTAGGTAAAAACATAGGCAGACAACTGGAAATAAACAGATACAATAATGGCGAATTATTCAGTTCAGTTTGATCGTTCATGAGATATTGAGAGTTTTTAAATTTGTTCATTTCCATACTCTACAAGTTAAATTTTAAACCTCTCCTCTGGAAATGTGATTAAATGAGTGGCATATGGTGGGTTTATTTTTCCATTCTGAAAACAATGTTTGTGTTTCTTCGGGCGAGATTTGAACGTTCTTCCAGTTTGACCTATATAAAACATCGAATATGACTCACATTATAATTTATACACTCCAGATTTCTCTGACACTGAACTTCTATCTTTGTTGTTCTTAATGTGCATGCCTAAGTTGCTGTTGGTTTCGAAAGCAATATTTACAGCTTTGTGTAAATACACTATATTGATGAGTTTTTTTAAGAAGTAAAAGTTCCCCAACCTTATCTGCTATATAGTAAACATACTGTGGAAGCTAAGACAATAATAATGATTATAGCAGTTGAGAAATATAAAAAATTAATTTTACCTTTTCCTAACTTTTCGTCAAACTTCACTTTGCTTTTGGATCGCTTCTTTCCTCGCATTTTCCTATCCTTCTCCGTTCCGCATTCATCGAGAATGTCCATAATTTCACTGAGGTTTTTTCGCAACGCGATGTCCCGTGCCGTTTCACCCTGTTTATTTCGAACACTTTTATCACAACCCGCTTCGAGCAATATCCTTGTCAGTTTTCGTCTGCCCATTGCCGAAGCGATGTGCAGTACGGTATCACCATTTTTATTTTGTTCCGACACGCGGCACTGAGCAGAAATGAGAATGCGCGTCACTCCGGCATGACCGTACCTACAAATGAAAAAATATTAGCCTCAGGGTATAATATACTCTTTCAGAATTTATAAATCAGTTTCGGATTTATAATTTTACTAAATGGGAATGATTTCACAAGGAATGATCACCAATAACAGTTCTAAAAAATTAATGGATTCAAAAAACTTCGCTGCTCCTGAACCAAATGAGCTGCTGGAAAAAAAAACCATCAAGCACCCACCGCCATCTGTCTAGAGTTTTCAGCTCGTGGCTGTGGAGGGAGAGTAGTACACGAATTCTCTCCACAGTTGACAAAGTATTCGAACGGGTGATATATAGCAGAGGAGGTCACAGAGAGAAGTCACTGGCTGTAAGAAAACCTTGCTAATCGATAGATTCGTAACGCAGGTCTCAAAACAGATGATAGAACATCGCATAGGTTACTGGAGTTTTTTCCCAACACCAAACCATTATTTCAATACCACGACACGTGTTTCGATCACCAAGTGATAATTTTCAAGAGAAAGATTAAACTCACTCTTGAAAATGATCACTTGGTGATCAAAACACGTGTCGAGGTGATAAAATAAAGGTGTGGTGTTGGGAAAAACTACCAGTAATATTCATTACTACACCAAAGGTTCTAAAATGTGTATCACAAGTATCGCATAGGTTCATCTCAGAAAAATTCGAGAGTATGAAACCAGAGAATGAGATCAGCCGGTTTTTTTTTCAATATGGATGACCTTAAACTTTATGGCTATGAAAAAAGGATCTCCATTAGTCCTTGAGAGTGGTGGAAGAGTACACACATGCTATCGGTATGGAATTCGATGGCAACAGTCCATCTCAAAAGAGGACGGTGCGGAGATTAACAGAAAAGACAAATATCTCGTAGATGGAAGTATCTACCACCATCTGGGAGCCAGAGAGACGTAACCAACTCGAGGTAGAACAATATCACTCTCAGTGAAGAACTCTCACCACATCAGTATCAGTACGAATTCCGACAGATCTGGTGATCCAGCAGATCTACTACAAATATGTCTGCCGTTCTGATGTTACTCTACTTCTTTGGAGCAGTGAAATGGACTGGAAAGGATGTGTATCAACCCGACTCCATACTAGTTTGCATCACAAATCGTTCCTTTTACTTCCCCCGACAACAAAGAGGCCAGCGAACATGTCAGAGTAGGAATTGCATCATTCCTCTTTAATCATCTCAGGACATACTGCTGAAACGTCCACAACTAAGTATGGTAAACACTACAAAAGTTGCCCTTGGTTAAATGCCAACACCAAATATGGCACTGATGCATGTGAATGCATATTGATATATATTAAAAGCTGATCAGTCATAATAAACATCATTATTTTTATTATGAATATTATGAAAAAATGTATGACTTGTATTTTTCAATAAAACTATTTCATCGAAACACATTGTGTATACATTTCTTTCACTGTCAATATAATTCACACTAATTTCCCTTTAATTTGATGTACTGCACGCCACGAGACCATTAATAACGGAAAAATGAGAACTTAATGTTTTTCCCACATGTTTGTGTGCGCTATCTGTGTTTTTCCCTTCGTCAGCTCCTCATGATACCAACTTGATAAAGGATATCACGCTTCAAATGAGCCACACTGTAAATATTCCTCATAAAAGAAGAGAATCGCACGTTGAAGCGCAAGATCCTCGTTACCGCTTTTTTTAAACGACACCCTATATGAATTTTTTTCATATGTTTATCCATATCTGGTTTTTTTGACTATCTTTTCCTGATGATGCTAACTCGGTTAACGAAGATACAGTTTAGTGTCCGACAGGCATGTTGCATTGCACGTTAGGCCCTCCTAGTCATCGTCGACGCCGTCGTTGTCGTCTCATTACCATACAAGTTTTTGTCGTGTCGTATTCCTAACCCTTCATGCCTTATTTTGAAACCGATAATGATTCATACCCATCGCCCCATGAGCAACGATTTATTTTACAACCGATAACACCGCGGTAATACGCGCACCGTCCGTTATCTCTACAACGGATCAGCTCGATACGATCTCCATATCTCTCACAGTCATACTTCAGACCGTCTTCTCACTCTTACACACCTCTTATGGAGCATCAAGTCTTCTCCAGATCTACGTATATTTCCCTCTCTTCTACATGAGAAGGACATCACAATTTCCTCAGAATTATACGGAAATCATGAAGGTTAGGTACACAAAATGAGCCAACTCTGGCTTACTATTACTACTCTCGCTGGCGTGTTGGATATCCTTGTTCATCTTCCACTGATTGAATCACTATGCACGCTGTTTTTGGCGAGTGCACCGACTTGGGTTGTTGGGGTTGAGCAAACCGGCCATCGCCATAGGATGCCTGCTCCCATGTAGCCCCGCTGGATATGGAAATGACAGAATCACTTGTGGTTCTGTTATTCCCTAACTGAATGGCATCGAAACGATGGCTTAATGCTAAGGTGTGTGTCTCTACGGAACCTTCGAGATACCGGGCACCCTCTCGTCGTAGCATCGCCTTGTCACGGTAATGCGGGGCTCTGTCGTGATTGACCTTCTTTTCCCAGCTACCCGTGGGACTTTTATGGACAGAGTAAACTTAAAAATTCTTTTTGACGCTGAGTCTACAGAGAAGATGGAGCTTACGACTCCAACTGACCTCCCTGTAAATTTAGATCAGGAGCGAGTCTACAGAGGAGATGGATGTTGATCTTACGACTTCAACTGACCTCCTTGTAAATTCAGATCGGGAGCGAGAGCTTCTCAACTCTCCAATTCCTGATCCAATAACTGAACCTAAAAAAATGGTTTGGTGGTACAGCTGGAGGAACAATCCCCCCATGGGCAGGTTAGCAAACGTTTGCGCTCAAGTGATGATTCACCAAAACCAGAGCCGAAAAGCCCTGTACGGTTGAATCTAAGGCATCGTCAGGTGTAGCTGACGTGCAAAAACTCTTATATAGGAAGGTTGTCACGGGTATCAAGGTGAGAATCTTGCACCTTGACTATCCGGGTACCTCATTAACGATGAAACAGCAGAGTATATACTTTGTGCCTGTCCCGCTGGGGACCGAATCAGGCTTTTAGAGTTCTGCAGAGCTGTACACTTACCATCTGGCTTCGTTAAGAAGGTGGAGGGTCGAATAGACCCACTCACATTATATCTAACCTAACCTAACTACTCTCGCTAAATTGAAAAAAGAAACGCCAGACTAATGAATATTTAGAGCTGACTTGGTCGCGTAGGAGATCGTTTTTAATCCCCACTATTGACGCGAATTCATACGTCTACCTTCCTGCAGGCAGCTGCCCAAGCGGCTAATAAAGTTGGGTTCAGTTTTCGACATTGATCACAACTCTATCACCGAGTTGGAAAACGTCCAGCGAAAGACCCACATGAAAGCCGCAGAGATTACTTCCCTCTGCAGAATACAAAGATAAGCCGATGCATAGAAGGTTCTTCCATTCCATTGAAGGGTTGGAACATGCATTTTGAAGTTTGAAAGTGCACTCCAAATTGTTGATTTATTCGTGTAATATTTGGCGTGGCTTCGGTCTCTTTTGAATACAAACAAAATAGATGGTTCATTATTCTGAAAATATAAGTATTCGTCATTTCTAGTGAGAATCACAAAAATACTGCAGGTGGGAGGTTGTGGAAGAATGGTTCAAATTGAAAACATGTGTTACTGAAAAGCGACATTTACTAATAGAAAATTCGAAAACTGCTAGTATTTTGTCATTTCATTTTTGAAAACATTCGATTAGCGATTTTTTTATTTTCAACTGATACGTCAGCAACTGCAAGTGACTGCCGCAGTTGCAGTTAAAACGTTTGGACATTGTAAACAAAAATGAGACCACGGAAAAACTCGGAAACCAACTGAAACAAAACGTTCGTATTGTGAAAATTTGCATCACAAGCACCTCCGTGTGTTCA